CAAGAATTTATTAACAGCACCTACTATATGCCAGGCACTGCCCCAGGCATTGGGAATACAAAAACAAAAAAATGAAACAATCACTGCTGTCAAGGAGCTTACATTCCATTGAGGGAGATAGTAATTATATATAGATATATAGATATACATACACACATACACATATATACACATACACATATACATATATGTGTATGTATGTATAAAATTATACATATATATAAATTATACATATATATAATTACTATCTCCCTCGATGGAATATATACATGCACATACATATATTACATATGTATGTATATATACACATTCCCCATATACTTACATACAAAATAAATACCAGGTAGTGAAGAAAGGAAAACATAAGAATTTACTCCGGCTGGGGCTGAGGGGTCAGCAATGGCTTTATGCGGAAGATGGTGCTAAAGTTTAATCTTGAACATCAGGGATTCTATGAGTCAGCAGTGAGGAGAGGAGATCTGCCCGGCATGGAATTCAGAGGTAAATTTAGAGATGTGTGAGGAATAGGGAGGAAGCCAGTTTAGCTGGACTATAGAGTGAATGAAGACACTATTGTATGATAAGGCTAGAAAGATAGGTTGGGGCCAGGTTGTGAAGGGGTTTTTATGTGTGTGTTATGTCTAGCATACAAAAACACATCATATATAATATATATAATATATGTGTGTATATATATGTATGAATATACATGTATATGACATGTATATGTATGTGTGTGTGTGTGTGTGTGTGTGTGTGTGTGTGTGTGTTTGCACCTCACCTCCAAGGCAGGCACTTTCCTCACTCTTTTTATGGCTCTGTATTAATAAGTCTTTCATTTTATATAGAATACCAGAGCTAGAAGGAATCATCTTAAGGACCACCTAGTCCAATTCCTTCACTTGACCAATGCGGACATTGATGGACGCCCAGAGACATGAAGGGGGTTGTCCAGGGTCAAACAGGAGGTAAATGGGAATAAAAAGACTAAAATCTAACTCTCAGTCCTGTGGTCCTTCCACAATAATATGGTGCTTCTTCCAGACACATCTAGACTAATCACATTAAGACACTACCAGCATCACCACCGGGTATTATTCATTTACCAAATTACTGTTTTTTAGGAGAAACACTAGGTGGGGACTCTGAACGCTGAGTACCTGGGAAGGATGTCACCAACAGGGAAAAGAAAGGTATTGGAGGAGAAGTTTGGAGGGCATTGCCACAAATTACCCTTTACCTTTTTGGCTAGTGCTGACAAGTTAAAATTGATTCGTATGTTCTAGGTTCTAGTCTTTCCTACTGCTCTTGTTCTAATGAGATGTCATCTGAACTATTGCCACCTTTTTGGTTTGTCCTGCCCACTTGATCACTTTCCATGGCTACCCTCCCACTTGCGTCTTCTGTTTCCCCAGCTGTTAATGCCTTCCTCTTTCCGATTTGTATATATCTTGAATATATTTATTTGCATATCTCCCCCATTAGAATGCATGCTTCTTTTGCCTATCTTTGAATTACCTATGCTCAGCACAGTGCCAAGCATATAAGTGCTTAATAAATAGTTGTGAACTGACTAATTGACTTCCTCTATTTTATTTGCTCTATTCCATTATGCTAAGACTCACCTCTACATGCTGACCTACTTCTACATGCCCCTCCATCCTTTTTTTTCTCATTATATGTGTTTTCTTTCTTTTGGTTAATACCTTCTCCTCTTCAAGTACTCTACCCTACCACCATTCTCTACTTTATCTGAAAATAAATAATAAAGGGGGAAAAAAAGTAAAGCAAGACTATACTTTTAAAAAAAAAGCTATCCCAATAGCTCTGACTTAGAATTTTGATGGTGGTCCTTTTTGAACTTAAGGTACCACTAATACTTTGGCAGGGAAAGATGGTGTAGCCTGGACTCATGATTTTATCAGTGAGAAGGAACTCCCAGTGTAGGGACTCCCTCCACTGACAAAGATCCGTAACTTACTGTCTCCTTTGTAATTATGCATTCTTTCCTGACGGTCAGAAAATTATCTAATCTATACGTAAATTTTTCAAATAACTGAAGTCCCCCTTTTTAAGAGCTGAAATTAATGCTTTTTAAGCCATTTTTTTTAGTGAGAAAGGCTATATCAAGGTGTACAGAGTGCCCTATACACATACATATATAGTAGTTTCACAATCAATTTCCCCAACCTGTGAGTTCTGAGTCCTTGTGCCAGCTTTTTTAGTTTTTGCATCTTTCCTCCCTCATGATCAGATTGTCAGCTGTTAATTCTGGCTCTGAGCAATATGTCTTGTCCCCATATTCCATTTCATTTGCTGCCTATAATCTGTTATTGGTCAGGACACCAAAGAAACCACGCTTGTTAGAACTATTTCCCAAGTAAGAGTCAAGAGATTCTAAGTCAGAGTCTGAAGTTTTTTACCACGAGTAAAGCATGAGTCTCAGCGCACAGACAATGTGCCATCTATTTTTACTATGCAGATAACACATTTTTTAAAATGTGCTTCCCCTCCCTTTTTCCTGCTATCTTTTTTGGCTCTTTCTCAGGGAGTTGAAGGTTAAAGTATCCTCGTGATAAATGAGGTGTTTGTATTCTGGATCTTGGAAAGATAAAGTAAAAACACATGATTTTATGATGTTAGATACTCTATCTAGTTCTTTCTATCTCTCAATTCACTCCAATTCTCCAGGCACTTATTGTCTTCCACATTCCAAGCATTGTGCTAGCACAAGAGATTCTAACACAAGAGAAAACAATTTCCACTTTCAAGAAGCTTATACTGTCCTGGAGGGGTGACGGATACACTGTATGCAAGATTTAGCCCACATTATTGTCACTAAAAGTTCATTAAAGGAAGTAAATAAATGATATATAAACGTATGCTAGCTTTGGAAGCAAACACAAACACTCAATTGAGTACGTAGCTGTATATTGCAGAGAGGCTAAGGCACTTAACCGCCCCCTGAATACCTTAGTGAAAAAAAATGTACTCCTATCTATTCAGTTTGGTAATATTCTCTTCTATTTTTTTTAAAAAATAGTGACTACGGCAACAGAATGGTGCACTATAATATTTAGTTCTAAAAAATAAGATCAACCCAGATGTCAGACTTGAGTGTTGGAATATAAGATCCCTCAGGAGCAAGGTCTCAATTCTAAAATAATTCTCGAGTTATGGCTGGAGCAGATCACCTCTGAGGCCATACCGTAATATTTCTAAATAAATTAAATAAGTAGCCAAAGTAACACAATGGCCACTAATGTCTCTCTAATCCCATTTACTGAAATGACCAAATTAACTGCTGCCCATTTTTGTGGCTTGTTTCAGACACCTGCAGACCCTTCAGTTGATGGATCGTGGTTTCTTCCACTTCAGTGGGGGAGATGGAGTCTGCCATCTTAAACATTTCTTTTTCCAGGCCTTGTTGAATTAAAGCAGTATGAGTTCTCTTCAGTAGGAATGTTAGCCATTTAGGCTGATTTATTATTACTTATGGGCATAGCTCCATAGGGTGTGGGAAGTGAAAAGAATTCTGCTCTTAAAGCCAGAAAAGACTTGGGTCTCAATCCCACTCTCTAAATTCACTGGTTTCATTAAACTGAACAAGTTGTTTATACTCTATGAGTCTCAGCTTCATCATCTGTAAAGTGGGGATATTAATTCTCTACCACAGAGGATTGTTATGAGATTCAAATAAGATGATATATGTCCAGTCCTGCAAACCTCAAAGCCCAATGAAAATGTCCATTGTCGCTATTATGTTTATCTGTTCTCTGCACTGTGTTCTTTTATGCTCTACATGTCAATATCTTCACTGCTTTTTACTATTTTCCACACACTCCTTCTTAGTTTCTGCTGGTCTAACACATTTTTCATCCTCCACCCGACTTGCCACTACCTCTGTGAGACCCAGTATCTTGTTCTATTTACCTACAGTGTCCTTCTGTCTACTTGCTGCCAGTTCCCATCTCTCCCCTCTTTGAAAACTCAGCCCAAAAGTCTCCACATCTATGACTCTTTCCATGATTAGCTCCACTTCGCCATGATCATTACTTTATCCCATATCCCTCAGCATCTTTATTCTACCAAAAGATGAAATTATAAAGCAATGAGACTGTGTATGTGTGCCACATGGAACCAGTATTATTAATTTCTCATCACATCCCATATATATGCATACATACAAAATTGCTCCCATGTTAATTTGCACGAGCTTGTACATTTCTTTATAGATATTCTTAAATCTCCATCACACATTCTAGCCCTATCTATCTAAGTTAGAATCTTGAGGACAGGGGACACTTGGAATTATAGATTCCAGAATGTGGAGCCAGCAAAGAGTCTTAACTAAAGCATATAATTACAGAATCACTGGATCTAAGAGTGAGAACAAACTTCAATGCCCACCTATTTTAACCATCCTTGAAAACAAAAACCCTCCTACCAGTATGCCTGACAAGCAGTTAACCAGCTATTGCTTGAAGTGATGGGGAAACCCACCACCTCTCAAGGGAGTCCATTGCACTTTTGAATAATAAACTTAGTGAAAAGCTATTCCAACCTCATTTTATGAGGTGGAAAAGGTCAAGTGACTTACCGGTTTGTGAGCAGGAAAGCCACAACTAGAGTCTTCTGCTTCCCAATTCAGCATTCTATCCACAACATGCTGGCCCTTTGGTTATGTATGTATGTATGGATGTATGTATATATGTATGGTATACGTGTTGATGTATATGTATGCAAGTATGTGTTTGTGGGTATGTATATGTATATATATACACATACACACACACACACACACATATATATATATACACATATACATACACATCCCCCTCTCCAATATTACCTAATAACAGACTAGATAGTCAATAAATATCATTGGCTGACTGGTATACTGGTATACATGATATTCTTGGCCAAAAAATGAAGATTTTAAAATAATACAGTACCAAAAAAAATTCCATGAGGAAAGAGAAGTAAAAAGCACCACTTACCAACAAAGAATGCTGTCTTTAGAACTCTGACTCGCTTTCACAGAACTTCAGACTTTTCTCAACCAGTGTTAACACATAAATGAATGTTTTCTCAGTTGCCAAACTTTTGAATTTATGCTATGAAAATGACAGCTTTACTTGGGACATCTTGGGGCTCCTTTCTCATCTAAAGCCTCATATGATTTTTCTCTCATTTTCACATCAGCAAACAAGATAGTGTGGTGAACTACCTCACCACAAGTTTTACCCCTTCAAGTCTCATACCTCTGATTATAAAAAGGTAACAAATAAGGTGGGGGAGGGAAAGATAGATGTGTAACTAGGTCAACTTCACAATTTCGATTTCAGATGCAAATATTTTTCATGTTAATACTTCATTTCAGTTTGTGGGACAAGTCTTGATTCTTCTTGGAAGCTACATGTTAAATACAATGATTCTAAAATTCTTTGAAAAGCTCTGTATGTTACCTGATGACAATGATTATTACCACCTACCCGTCTTCTTAGTGTTGGGGAATAAAAACCTGGGTACCACAAATAACTTAACTTTTCTGTGTGCAAATATTCTTAAAATAGAAGATCCATTCAATTCAATTCAACAACTATTTATTGAGAATAAACAGTACTGGCCATCAAGGGAGCTACAAACACGAATGAGTGATTAATAAGCGGGGGGGGGGGAGAGAGCAAGGTGGCACAGTGGATAGAGCACCAGCCCTGGACTCAGGAGGACCTGAGCTCAAATCCAGCCTCAGACACATAACACTAGCTGTGTGACCCTAGGCAAGTCACTTAACACCCATTGCCACCCCCCAAAAAATAAGCAGAGTAGGGAATAAAGGAATAAGTTACTTACCCTAAAGCAAGGCAGAGAATAAGGCATTGGAGTATAGCCAAATGAGCACTGGCTTTGGTTTCAGAAGATCTAGGTTCAAATCTCGCCTCTATCACTTACTACCTTTATGGTTGCAGACAAGTCTTTTAGCCACGTTTTAATTTCCTCAGTTTCCTCACCTGTAAAATGAACTGAAGAAGGAAATGGAAAATAGCTCTATTATCTTTGCCAAGAAAACCCCAGATGGAGTTATTAAGGGTCAGCCATGACTGACACAACTCAACAACAACAAAATCATGTCAAAGTTCTTGATAGTTATACGCCTGCCATGGCATCACCTCCCTGATGTCATGGTCCTCTTCGAGAACAAGGGACAAACACTAAGTGCTATGTAAACATTTTTGTTGTTCTTTTTCCTGTTCTTCATTATTACGCTCATAAATCTGAAGCCAGAATTCTCCCAAGTTTTATGACAGGCAGGTTGGAACCAGGAGGTTACACTCCTAGAACATCCTCAGATGGCATTTCATGGGAGATGTGAGGAATTTCTGGCTGGTAAATTGTAAAAATGGGTATCCCCACTGATCTGTCCTCCACCAGTCAGTCAACAAACATGTATTAACCACTTACTATTTGTCGGGCACCATGATAGGGTCTGGGGATACAAAGAAAAAAGTGAAATCATTCCTTCTCTCAAAGTCCATGTATTCTATTGGCGGAGAATCCATTCAGACTCCATCAGTTCTTTCTCTGGAGACAGACAGCATTTTTCATCACATGTCCTTCAGAATTGTCTTGGATCATTATGTTGCTAAGAATAGCTAAGTTATTTACAATTGATCATCATACAATATTGCTCTTATTGTGTACAATATTTTCCATGTTCTGCTCATTTCACTTTGTATCAGTTCAAGTAAGTCTTTCTAGGTTTTTCTGAGAGTATCCTGTTTGTCATTTCTTATAGTACGATATTATTCCATCACAATCATATACCACAACTTGTTCATTCATTACCTACTTAATAAGCATCCCCTCAATTTCCAATTCTTTGCCAACACCATAATAGCTGCTACAAATATTTTTGTACATATAGGTCCTTTTCCTTTTTTTTTTTAATCTCTTTGGGATACAGACCTAGTAGTGGTATTGCTGGGTTAAAGGATAAACGCCCTTTGGGCATTGTTCCAAATCACTCTCCAGAATAGTTGGATAAGTTCATAACTCCAACAGTGCACTAGTGTCCCAATTTTCCCACACCCCTTCCAATATTTGTCATTTTCGTTTTCTGTCATGTTAGCCAATCTGATAGGTTGTTTTTGGTTTTGTTTTTTAGTTAGGCAATGGGGTTAAGTGACTTGCCCAGGGTCACACAGCTAGTAAGTGTTATGTGTCTGAGACCAGATTTGAACTCAGGTCCTCCTGAATCCAGGGCCAGTGCTCTATCCACTGTGCCACCTAGCTGCCCCAATCTGATAGGTTGTAAGGTGGAACCTCAGAGTTGTTTTAATTTGCATTTCTCAAATCAATAGTGATTTAGAGCATTTTTTCTTATGACTGTAGATAGCTTTGATCAGGTTATCTGAAAACTGTCTATTCATATCCTTTGGCCATTTATCAATTGGGGAATGGCTCTTATTTTTATAATTTGACTTGATTCTCTATGTATTTGAGAATTGAGACCTTTATCAGAGAAATTTGCCGTAAAATTTTTTTTCAAAGTTCTGATCACTGTGTATTTCCCTCCATCCTATTTCCCCTCCCCCATCTCCTCTCTCTCTCTCCCTCCCCCCCCTTTCTCTTCTCTCTCCCTTCCCCTCCTTTCACCCTGTCCATCCTTAAAAGTGTTTTGCTTCTGACTGCCTCCTCCCCCAATCCACTCTCCCTTCTCTTATCCACTTCCTCTCCTACTTTTCTGTAGGGTAAGATAGATTTCTATACCCAACTGAGTGTGTATGTTATTCCCACTTTGAGCCAATTCCAGTAAGAGTAAGGTTCAAGTGCTCCCTCTCACATCCCCCATCTTCCCCTCCACTGTAAAAGCTCTTTTGAACCTCTTTAATATGACCTCATTTACTTCATTCTACCTCTACTTTTCCCTCTCCCAGTGCATTTATCTTTCTTATTCCTTAATTTTATTTATGTAGCCATCATCCCATCATATTGAATTTGTACCTGTGCCCTCTGTCTATGTCTACATTCTAATTGCCCTAATAATGAGAAAGTTCTTAGGAGTTATAAGTATCATCTTCCTGTATGGGAATGTAAACAGTTTAACTTTACTGAATCTCTTTAGAGTTCTCTTTCCTTTTTACTTTTTTATGCTTCTCTTGAGTTTTGTATTTGAAAGTCAGATTTTCCATTCAGCTCTGGTCTTTTCATCAGGAATGCTTAGAAGTCTTATATTTCATTAAATATCTATTTTTTTTCCTTAAAGATTATACTCAATTTTGTTACTAGGTGACTTTTGGTTGTAATCCTAGCTCCTTTGCCCTCCAGAATATCACATTCCAATCCCTCTGATACTTTAATGTAGAAGCTGCTAAACCTTGTGTCATAATGACCGTGAATCCACAATATTTGGATTGTTTCTTTCTGGCTGTTCGAAATATTTTCTACTTGACATGGAAGCTCTGGAATTTGGCTAGAATATTCCTGGGAGTTTTCATTTGGGGATCTCGCTCAGGAGGTAATCAGTGGATTCTTTTACTATCTATTTTATCCTCTGATTTGAGGATATTAGGTCAGTTTTCCTTGATAATTTCTTGAAAGATGATGTCCAGGCTTTTTTTTTTTTTTACCATGGCTTTCAAGTAGTCCAATAATTCTTAAATTATCTCTCCTGGATCTGTTTTCCAGGTCAGTAATTTTTTCAATGAGATATTTAGCATTGTCTTCTATTTTTTCATTCTTTTGATTTTGTTTTATTATTTCCTGTTTCATGGAGTCATAAGCTTCCACTTGCTCAATTCTAATTATTTTTTGTTTGTTTGTTTGTTTGTTTTTAGATTGGGGTTAAGTGACTTGCCCAGGGTCACACAGCTAGTAAGTGTCAAGTGTTTGGTCTGAGGCCAGATTTGAACTCAAGTCCTCCTGACTTCAGGGCCGGTGCTCTATCCACTGTGTCCCCCCCTCCCCCGATTCTAATTTTTAAGGAATATCTTTTTCAGTGAGCTTTTGTACCTCCTTTCTCATTTGGCAAATTCTGCTTTTTAAGGAGTTCTTCTCTGGATTTTTATGCCTCTTTTACCATTTGACCTTTGTTTTTTAAGGTATTATTTTTTCCAGTATTTTCTGTGCCTCCTTTACCAAGCTGTTGGCTCTTTTTTTTTTCATGATTTTCTTGCATCATTCTCATTTCTTTTCCCAATTTTTCCTCTACTTCACTTATTTGATTTTTAAAATCCTTTCTAAACTATTCCAAAAATTCTTTTTGGGCCTAAGACCAATTTGCATTTTCCTTCAAGGCTTTGGATGTAGCTGTTTTGTTGTCTTCTGATTTTATGTTTTCATGTTCCCTGTCACCACAGTGACTTTCTATAGTCAGGGTCTTTTTGTTATTTTTTACTCATTTTTCTAGCCTATTTTCTTAATTTTTAACTTGATGTTAAAGTTGGGCTCTCCTCCTGGGGTAGAGGGGGCATAGTTCCTAGCTTCAATATTTTTATGTAGCTGTTTTTAGAGCTAGTTCTGGGAGTTTTAGTTCTTTCAAGGTGGTATGATATAAGGAGAGATGTGTTTAACACTCTCCTGGCCTGTGAGTGACCACAAGTATTCTTTTCTGCCCTGGAGCTGTGACAAGGATCCTGATCCCCTGTGGCTGCAAGCTCTGGTGTGCTGGTGCTCCTTCTGGCCATGAAACTATGACCCAGACTATGACCCACATCTCCATAGGAGCGACATCATGGAGTCTTGTGCCCAGTGACAGCAAAGGAACCCCTGTAATCTCCTTCTGATGAGTTCCCCTTACCATCTATTGTCTGAGAGCTCTGACAGCTGCCATAGCTGATTCAGTCACCCCACAATGGTTTTCTGTGGCCCAGCCTATGCTGGACTGCACTCTATTCTGGCCCAATAAGACAGACCTTTCCTACCAACTTTCTGAGTTGTCTTAGGTTGGAAAATTGTTTCACTCCATCCTTTTGTAGATTCTGCTCCAGAATTCATTTTGAGGCATTATTTAAAGTTGTTTGGAGGGGAATTTAGGAAGACTGAGGCAAGTCTCTGTCTTTTCTCTACCATCTTGGCTCTGCCCCTTTGAATTGATTCTTGAAAGAAGTAAGGGATTTTGAGATGCAAAGATGAGAACAAAGAACATTATAGGCATGAGTACACTTTCAGATGGCTATG